CTCCCTCTCCCTCTCCCTCTCCCATCTAATTCATTTCAGGTTTTCCAGAGCTAGTGAATCTCTGTGCTCATCAACTTTGAACACTTTTGTCATTTTGGTGTTCTCTGGAGTCATGTAAAACATAGATGCATTTAGACAGGAATAAAATAAGATTTTTTTTCTAACTGAAAGTTTAGTTGACTTACACCTTGCTTTAAATAAATCCGTTACAAAAGGAAAATAACAAATGTTATTGCAGCAGTACATTTATTAAAAGGCCTAATTTAAGACTGTTCCATGAAAGGGTTTCTTATTAAGTTAATGGAAATTGTGCATGTGGAAAGCTCCTTGTACAGGATCCTTAAAATATGAAAGTAAATTACTATTATAGAAGTATATTTAGAGCCACTTGATGCCTCTGTTGCAATAATATGTGCATAGTTCAACAAAAGAGGATCCAAGGCAAGAGAAAGGGTGAGCTTTTTAACCCCTGACCCATGTCAAAGGTGACAATCTAAGGAAATGCCTCCAAGCTCTTGTCTTATGAGTTTCTACTGCTGAAATTGCATCCTAATGGAAAGACATAGATGGCCTATTCAAAATATACTATGAATTAAATCTTCATTTTTTGCATTACAAATTAACATTGGGGTGTACTTTTTTATGTCAGGCTTGTAGGATTTGAATCTATGAGCCACGCTTATAATGAGTAGTAACTAACTATTCATGCATTTGGTTCCAGTAGATCCAGTGAGACTAAGTACTATTTGGTAGGAGAATAGGTTGCATAACAGGACTCTCCCAAATGTTGCCTACATGGTAGCATTACCCATATATAATTGTCTGATTGTCAATAACTTTTTGTAATTAATCTGACTTAATTCATGCATATATTGACTGTTCTTGTTCTTACTGTTTCTTAGGCTACTGGAGAAAAAAGAGCTGCCCCAGATTCTGGCAAGAAGCCCAAGACTCCAAAGAAGAAGAAAAAGAAAGACCCCAATGAGCCACAAAAGCCAGTGTCAGCATATGCCCTTTTCTTCAGGGATACACAAGCTGCAATTAAAGGGCAGAACCCGAATGCTACATTTGGAGACGTTTCAAAAATAGTGGCATCGATGTGGGACAGTTTAGGAGAAGAACAAAAACAGGTAAAAAATTGATGCAGTGTTGTCTCACAAGAAGTAATATAGTAATCTGTGTAAAAACATCTTCTGCTTGCTGATGTAGACCTCTACCTCTGTAGAGCTGCACTGATTTTTGACCTTGCTGAAGACCTGGCATCTAAAAAGCATTTTGTCACAAGAGCCAGTTGGTAGTGTTAAATGGCTGTATTTGCCTTTAAAATTTAAAGGGCAGGTAGTAAAAAAAGCTCAGGTGATAGTGTCCTAGAGTCCTCTTAAGACCATCTTTTGATGATTCCTATTTCAAAGCTCTTGTTTTCTATTAATAAAAAGTTAGAAGAGAAAAGGGGAAGGTACGGCACAGTTACCATTTTCCTTTGATCTGCTGTATGAATTTGTTACAAAGCGTGTTGATTTCCAACCTTTGAAGCCAATCCTCTGTGTCTCATTACAATGTCGTGTGTGAAATGCTATCTCCAACTCCAACTTGGTATGGAGTGATTAGTTTTGTACTTCCTTGAGGGGTATTCTTCTTCCTATACACATGTAACTCCTGCATATGGATTGAAGTGGCTTAAAAAGATATCCTTTGAGGCTGTTTGTTGATACTCTGGGCAGCTCCCAGTAACAGTTAATGGAAGCTGCAGTGGAAGAGTAGATTCCCACAGAGGACACCTTCTGGCAAGGGATGAATGGTACTTGTTTCTGAAATACATTTGGAAACTTTTACTCTGATCTAATAGATGATAGTGAACATAATTTAAAGGTGAACTTTACATTTATTAATGTTTGAAAATACAGATTAATTCATTTTTGTCTAACTGTTCTTGTTTAACTCAATGGGAATGTCTCATACTGGCTTTGGGGCAAGTCCAAACTCTTTGAACCACCTTTTCTAAAGGTATACAGATTTATTTTTTTATGTGCATTTTGCATATTTGTTAAGAAAAGAGAAATGCTTATGCATTTTTTTGCTATTTTATACTACTGCTGATACATTTTGGAATTTGAAATACTCTGTGTTCTAATATCCTCGTTACTTAGTGTCATTAAAATACAGTTTCCCAGGGAAGTAAAGTGCTGCTCAAACTGATATCAAACAGCAGCTTTTTGTTATTCATGATAATCAACATAAATTGTAGTGCAAATCCAGTGAACAGACCTGAAAGCCTGTAGCCACCTGCAAGAATATTTAGAATATTCAGGAAAGAAAAAGCACATCTATCAGTAGAGTGTTTTCAGGGGTTTTGGTCTGTGTTTTTTGTTCCTTGGCAAGTGATTTTGAGAGCATTCTGGCAAAAAAAATCTTAATAATTGAAGTTGGTGAAACTGTGGTCTCTTTTAATAGGTATATAAAAGAAAAACTGAAGCTGCCAAAAAAGAATACCTAAAGGCACTTGCTGCCTATAGAGCAAGCCTTGTTTCTAAGGTAAGCCTAATAATGTAATGCAATGTCATGCAAGTGAGCTTTTGGCAATGGTGTTTAAATACTGGGGTGGGAGGGTTGATGTTATGCAAAATAAAAGTGGCATCCTAGAATTTCTGTAAGACAGCTCTACAAGATGTTGTGCTGCTGCTTGAACCCTGATGAGTCTCTGCAAAAAGAATCTCTACTGGCATATTAATGATTACCCAAAAATATCTTTGTAAATGTATGTCTTCCTTGAGGTATGGAGGCAAAATAAGGCACTTCACTACAAATGCAGAATTCAGTCATGAAAAATATACTGACCTTTTGACATTAACATTGGCAAGCTATTTGCTGAGGTTTGTTTTTCCTCAAGTGCTGCTTCTCAAAAGACAGGCTTGCTTTGCATTGAGATGGAGAGCAGTTGTTGTGTCACAAAGCTTAAGTATATCTTACAGGTGAGGGGGAAAAAATGCTGGGTAGCTCTGAATTTGGAGACTGCTTGCAAGTGGTCTAGCTGGCAGTGAGCCACCCAGAGTATTTTAGTGGATCCCGAGTTAAAATAAAACTTGTGAAGAAAACAAAGCTCTGATGTCTCTCTTATTTGCGAATTTACCTTTCTAGCCAGCAGCACTGTGCAGCTTGTAGATCCTTTGTATCTGAATATCATAAATGGAAATATGCTTCTAGACATCTAAAGCACGGGTAAAAAATTACCAAGGTGGTTATTTATCTAATAATTTATCATAAAGATCAATTACAAAAAAACATTCAGTCACAAGAAAGCAACAGAAGGTGATGATATCTAACTCCTGAGAATACATAACTGACTGTTTAGTGGCAGG